TTAACAAGAAGAACACGGTAGAGCTAATTGGCTAACAAGTCTCCATGTAAGTTCTTGATGACCATCTCGCACACGTGAAATTGCACCCAACTCCATAAGAGTGGGGCTATATTTGAATCACTGTTAGAGAAATTTGCCCATTTAATTGACTGTCGAAGCGAAACCTCCGAAGGGCTTCCAAGTGCAGAAGTTAGACAATGAACAAACGCTGTTAATTTTTGGATTAGGACTTTTGGGTATACCACTTCAAATGTCATGTATGTAGATTCCATGATTGATAGAATTTTGGAATCAACCTAGAACAGCCGCACAAAGCCGGGTACAGCGACTAGCAGTTTATATCTCCCATCAAGAATTTGTTTCATTTTAACAATAGACATTATAGTCAATTCGAATTTCAGAGCATCAAAGACGCTTAGACGCAAGATCTGGCGGCAGCGATTGATCACATGGGCCTTCAGAGATCCCTTCGGGCTTTTTCTCGACGAAAAAAGCAAACGGATGATGAGGTCTAGATTTATAAAACCATAGTTTTCAACTGACTAAGCTTTTGTAGAGCACTTATCTCAACAGCTTTTGCTTTATGGGGAGATGCGTTGAACGGACATTTTGATTTCGAGGATGTTTCCCACCTCGTCAGCAGTAGCAAAGGAATTACAAAACCTCCTGGTTTGGACATAGATATTCTCTTTGCCAGAAAATTTCATGGAGACGAAGAGGTTAGGAAGAGGGCCATTATTTAGTTTCTTGGGTTTTTATACCAGTTTGTTAGGCCTTTGATGGAAAAGGAAACATGGTTGCGCACTCCGGGTACCCTCCTCACGGAATTCTTCACCTGGACGCTGATGAAGATTGGTCATTCGATGGTTCACACGGTGTCGATTTGCGTTACGTAAGTTCTGATTTATACTGAAACCGCATCAGCACAACATCATTCGGGGTGGTTTGTCATGAATTCTTAGTGAATATATTTTATTCTAATAAATTCCATTAATCCAAAAGTGTAAGCAAGTCGTGCTCGATCGTCGATGAACCTTGGCATTGTATTCGATGTAGTACAGTTTTTAAGCTGTCAACCAAGGTCGGTAGCAAGAATTTACTATACAAAGCCAATGTTTCGGCGGTCCGTCCGCGCTTCAGGGCTTCCTGAAACATCGAGACTTTAAGATCTACCCGCTCAAACTCCTTGCTTGGCAACAGATTTAGTCTAGCTATGCGATGGAGTGGCAGAGTTGAAATCCTGACCTCAGCCTTGCTAGATTGGGGTACAGAAACTAAATAACCAGTGCCGCGCTGCATCTGCGCTATGAGTGAGTATGATAGTCAGTGTTCAATGCCCTTTATATGGTTATAAAAGATCCGTATCAAAATCCACACAGTATTCGATAAGAAAACACTCGCCCTGGCAATGCCTTCAGCCTCCAACGTTTTGCGGGCTATCAACCTGGATTAGTGCGACAAGATCGTGACTGAGTAAAAAATACTGGTTCTCATGACTTAATCTTTGATGTGCACTCAAAGGTGTGGACGTTTTGGGTTTTGAAGGCCGTCAAGATACTCTTTGATTCTTGTGCACAAAGGGCCTGTCTCTTCTATGTGGTCACCGCATTTTTGACAGGTTTTGAGATAAACTACTCCTAATTACATACAGTCGGAACTCTTATCATAGACTAGTAGATTTGACTGTTCGACCTGAGTGTTTTTTGCTTCGACTATTTCGTTTGAAAAATGGTTTTGTCCACTCTACGGCCATTTTTACGCGCATACGCCGGCTTCATCGACATCTGGAAGCAGGTACTTGTTTCCGAGAAAATATTGTCCTTGCTGCCAGGTACTATCAGATCTAATGTACTGAGATCCTTCCTTGAGAGTCAACTTTGCGTAATTTGCAACAGTCTGTTCACATATGGCACTCAACTTCGTATTTAGGTGATGATTCATGAAATTGGTCACCTTCTTGGATTGCGACATTCTCGCAAAAAATCTTCTGTTATGAGCAAATATTATCGGTATGTGCTTCCATATAATGATCATGTACACTACAAAGAAACTGAATTTGAGGACGCTCGCTACCGGAATGCGCTTGCCACATGTGGACGTCGAGTCAATCAGGCGTTTGTATAGCGTTGGGACGAACTATAGATGAATGAGGATACTGTTTGTGATTTAATATAGTGTGCTACAGAGAGTCCCAAAGGTACAATAAATTGCACATTGATTCGCTGCCTTTCAATCCTTCAAACACACTGACTTTGAACAAGTGCCTTACATTTGCTGAAGTGAAAGGAACGAAAGCCAGACAGTTCAGCACGCGAGCGACGGTACCTATGGGATCCCTCGGGCACGAACGATATGTTACTTTCTCCCTGCTATGCTCATCTCAAGCTCGATCTCGCTTTTTTCTCTTTTTTTGCAGTAAAATATCAAAAGCATTCAGCTACGATTTTTGTAAATATCGTCGCCTACCAGCAGTGGATGGCGGAGCAATGTTTATATCAGAAAGACGACGATATGTGAAAAGCTGGCAGTAGGGTAGAAATCGAAATTTTGGAATCTATCAGTCTGTTGCATAAATATTGCTCCTCGAATTTTTTAATGAACTGAGCAGTAGATGTTCAAATCCAGATTAGTATGATGAGTCTTTATTGACATGAAGTTTCGACAAGGTGGTATTCTTCGAAGGTCTGAAAGCTGACTGCAGTCTTAACATGTGAAACTACGCCGCTAAACGTTACCTCCGCGCTTATCGAGTCTAGACCTCGTCTTATGCAAAATGTATAGAGAGGCACGGTGGCAGAAGAAAGCGACCGTTGATCCATTGTGATGAAGATGTTAATAATCCACAGGAAGCGGACAATAGCCGCAGACATGTTGCGGACGGACGACAGTGAGTGCACTCGGTGTGTCACTTCTATATATATAGGCAGCTATTGTTCACAAAGTGATAGAAAGGGCAGAAGATCACTTGCCATTGATCGGCATTCATTATTGTTGTTCATGCTTGGGCTCTTTAGAGAAATCCACTATCTTATGCGCGGAAATTTCTGTCTCGTGCGCCAAGATAGTTTTATGATTATTTTTATCCGTGATTTTATTCAAGTGGCAGACATTTGGTGCATTTGAGTCTGATTTTTTCCGAGCTGATGCAAAGGCTAGCCTGAAAAGACAACCCCATAATTTTCTTGCGCTTATACTCACTATCTACGAGTTTGTGGCTCATTCCGCTCATTCAGTATGTTGGGTGGTACAAGGGCGACCTAGTTTGATGAGCTAGCATACTCGTTCGCACAGTCTATGTCATACTATTAGGTTGCTTCATTAAACCGTTTTTTTAGATACATCAAAATATTTTTGTTTTCCTAGCAAAGCTGGGATGTCATCGACAGAGTAAAGCAAGCTCTACATGTTGACCACCAAGAATTCACCTAATTCGTAATCTATTCAAAGTCTGAAGCGATTAACTGAAACAACTGCTCTAAAAATCTGATCTCTTTCCAGAATGTTCTTACGGACCTCCAACTTAGGATGCCTTCATACCGCGCCAGTAGCCTCCGCTGGCCGCTTTTGTTCATAGAAGAAAATCATTAGATTGCTTCTACTTTGAGTGCACTTCCCTATGCTTTCCAACTTCCAGCTTTTTCCGTCCTATTGCCGCTAATGTGCAGTTCGACTCTCATACATTACAGAGATTTTCAGATAAGCAAATAGCCAGTAGCACACCTTCAAAATCTGGACGCATCCAAAGTCAGAGAAAATCGTACCGCGAAGAAACTTTGGCGAACTTTGGTTCAATTGCAAGAGGGAATAGGGCACTGATAGCATACCAATCTATCTCTACAAGATAAGAACAACAGTGGACACAAGTATGATATATGAGACCGAACTGCATATGGCAGCAACAGGAAGGAAAAAGCGAGGAAGATGAAACCACCTCCCCCCCCTTACGCAAAGGGGTGCACTTAAAGTAGGGAATTTGACTAGTTTGCACTCCTATGGACTGCTAGGGACTGCGGCTGCTACATGCTGAATCGGAATTGCCCTATAACCTCACCGGGATTACGACTTGGGTAGTTCTTGTAAAGCTTGCTTTACAAAATGATAACCATCACAAACGAGCTGGCACCCTTCCGGACCCTTTGTGGATTTTGATCTACGGATCGGGGTCGGGTCAAGTGCGGGGGAGTGATTAACGTATCAGTAACTCATCAGTAGTGGCGCACCTTTGCTCGGTGGTCGCTTCCTCTCATCCGCAAGGCTATAAGGTGAGCGTTAACTCATTAGCGTTTTCTCGTTTGTTTTGACACGGTTGGCTGTTGAGTTGTACCGATGTGGTGAAAACGAAGCTTTTGGGAGGATAGATTGTGAATATCTTCGACGTTTCCAGGCTCTGAAGAAGGCGGAGACGCCGAAACTTACGTAAGCCAATAAATCTACCTACCAATCTTGGCCTACGCTACATCAGCTGATAGAAGATTACAAAGTCATGCCAAGATTTATCGATGGCCGGACCTGGGATTTAAAGCTTGCTTTACTCTACCGAATGGTGCCCCAGTCCGCTAAAAAAAACGAAAACAATTTGATTACAGAAAACGGTTTACTTATGGAACAAACTGATGATTCTAGATTGCTTGCTGACGGGAAAGATGGCATGCCAAACTAATATAGCACTGCTTATAGCAGCTCATATCACTAGATTCTAGACCAAAGCTGTTAAATGGTCTCCAAAAATGCATTTTCTGGTTACCTTTTTAGTTTCCATGTTCTCTGTTTCTGACACTGCTTTTTTTCATCATAATCCTTTTGAATACTTACTTAACATTATGGCTTGCCTATGGTGTAAACAAATAGATAACTTTTGGGTCTATCGTTTGCAGGCACTGTGAGCTAATACAAACTTCACACAGAAGCACAAGTAGAGCGGTCCGTGCACCACTCAGAAATTCTCGACCTCAATGCGACTGCATTGTACTCAACCGTGTAGATTCGATGTCAGACAATTGAAGCTAGAAGAAAGCGTTTTGCAACAATTTTGATCTACATCATACAAATAACATGGCAGATGCTATTGCTACAACAAGGATAGTATCTTGTTGTCTACTGAATTTCTTGGCTGAAATTGAAATTATCGGCGTACTCATTATGCCACACAATACTTACACTTTGATTCCTTCTCTACTCCTTGAGCTTGACCATCGGTTTCTGTTCCCTCACCTCCTATCTCTATAACTAACATATTGAAGTGTATAAGGAAGTGCAGTATTCCGTCCAGAAAATTTGCCTGAACTTGAAGGCGGTGTATTGGTTGAATCTGGTGGCAAATCCGAGTACCTGGACTTTTAACGTGAATACTCGTTGGGGAGTTTCATCCACGAATGCCCAAGTAGCACTTCATATTAGTCATTCATGACCGAAAGTTAAACCCTAGAGTTTCCTTACTCGAATTTGTTGATTCTGCTCGCAAAGAGTACGGGCTGAGCGTGGCAATATTATGAACTGCCGTTTGGGCAGTGGTTATGCTAGTACTCCTCACCTAATATACACGTTTTAGATTTCCAGATTACCAATACACTGCCCTCAAGGCATGGTTGCCATCCATGTTGGTAGGATGCCAAAGCTGCGAATTTATATATAAAGCTGGATGTTTGTGTGTGTCTGTCTGCCTGCCTGTTCCTATGCTAGAATAGTATATCCCTTTCTGAACGATTTGGACCAAACTTGGCACATATACACTTCGGGGCCGGGCGGGTGTCACAGGCTACTTTTCGGGGTTTATGTCAAGAGGCGCGATTTTTATTGTCAGCTGGACACCAAATAGCACATAATAAGTGTTCTGCAACTTTCTAAAATGAAATTTAGAAGAAGATATATTAGGTAGTTGCATGACTTGTTCAATCTTGCTACTCCAAAAGAAATTCAAAAGAGCAGTTTTGAAGGTCAAAAACTCGTGAAAATGCATTTCAGAACAAATTCGTAAATATTTCAGCTCGATTTATAGCAAAAACCATGAAACTTGGCAAATGGTGGCCTCAGAAAGATAGTAAGCTATTGCACTTTATCTGGTAAATTTTGAAGATTCGCATAGCACTAAACTGGAGTTTTAAGTTGGTGACAGCTAGAGAAATCGCGACTCTTGACCGTCTCCCCTACTTTTCGTTATCGATAGACAACGATGATATTGATTTTTTGCAAACTTTGAGCTACGCGGCGGGTCGACACAGGAGTAAGTGAGATTTTGATTAAGAAAACATAGTTGAGGCAGGATACTAGTACAGAGATAGGACCAGGAAGGGAGATGTTCTACGGAAAGAGGGCATGGTGGTTTCTATCTAGTGTATTGACAGATCAGGTGGAGCCAGGTATGCTTGTGTCATTCAAATATTGGCAGCCAAAAACTTCCTTCTGCAGGGTATATGAATCATAAAAGCGCATTGTAAATCCACTTTTTTGTCATTTTTAAAAATATCAACTCTATCATGAATTATGATACAGGTCAAGGGTCGTTTATAGGCCGTCCGCGCAGGGCGCGGAGAGTGCGCAAGGTATGTATTGCGCGTCACTCCTCTTTCCTCGTGCACTCTCGTCGCCTATTCTCTCTGCGCTTCTTCCAGTCGTGAACTGCCCTCAATGTACTCAACAGCGTTGCTTTCCGTGCGCAGCGCGGACGGCTTATACGTTTGTGTGTGTGTCCTTACTGTCTGTTACAAAATCATGACACGAGCTAAAGGATGCTACCAGCATATATACGCCGTTGCATGACGAAGGCGCAATATATTTGAGCGCAAACGCGGCCTTATTAGCCACAGAGCGCATGAGGCGAGGACGTACAACGATGAAGATACGTGAACGTCGCTTTCGCGACGCAGCTAATACAGGGGTATATGTCAAGATGAACGATAGCTGGTACTGGTGGCGCGCGGGGTCATGAACTGGCAATAACGTGTTCTCTCGAAGCTCCGCCCTACTGCGGCGGACGAGTTTCTCGGACGATACCGTCAAGTAAAAATAACTTTTGATGGTGAGATACAAGCTTGTTGCAAGCTGCGGTGAAGCTTGACTATTTACAGAATTTGTTTTGATTTTCTTTTCTTTTTTGGCAATCAATGAATAGCTGATGTGTTGATCGTGAAATTCGATAGATTTGCTGATTTACCTATGAATGACCGAGTGACTCCTGGATATCCAACTTTGAAGTGTGAAATCAATCTAGAACACCTCAGGCATGATTGTCTGAGTGACCTCACATCTTATGACTAGTTCGCACGCAATTTCGATTGAGTTACAGATCAATTTATATTGAGGATAGCAGTTTTTGGAAGCAAATTGAAAGAATTTTGTTATTCAAAGCAGATTCGAAAATATATAAGTGCAGAATGATTGTCCTGAAATCTGAGAAAAATTTATGTGATATGACCGCATATTTGCAAAACGAGTTAGTTTGCTCAAAACAAAATTCGCCTATAATGCTTGTTTTGAATTCTCGTCGCAATGAAATCTGTTTTTAGCTATGATTAGGGTTTTGTAACTTACTTAGTTTTAACTAACTAACATAGTTTTGTAAATTAATGGTGTTGGTCATTTGAGCAATAATAATAGTATTTCTCGATAAGCTGACTTTTTTTTTGAACTAAACTTGAGAGTGCACAACAAAGCATCATAACTTATAATAACGGGCTAAGGGTGTTTACGTGTTTTTGTGTGTGTGTGTGTGAGAGTGTGTCTGTTACGAAATTCGTAGAGCAGGTTCCAGCCAACCTTTTGAGCCCAAATTTTGCATGGAGCATGCTACCAGCTCAAAAACCCAATGCACGAAAGCACGAGCGGATCCGATGAATGGATCCTTCAAAAATTGCCCGCCAAGAGGATCCACATGGCTTTTGGCCCGCGTAAGTGGGCCTGTATTACAATCTCTTGCGAATTTTGGATTTATGCCACATGCACATCTGTAAGCTGAGCGTTTCAATGCAAAAATTCTCAAAAAACTCATTCCCACGCGGAGGCGGCGCCAAAATAAGGATTTTGAGTGAATTCTCGATTTTCGAATGTTCTACTGAAGGAACTGAGGAGATTTTTGCTCAGAAATGCAGTACGGAATCGTCGTTGTCATCGTGGCAATCGTTGCATTATTAACAAAACAGAAACTATTTCAAAAACGTGCTTAATCTCAAGCTGCAAAAATTTTTTCGCCCAACATTACCGATTTCTTATGTTAGGACATTCGAAATGTGTAGTTCGTAGTAATTCGTTTGTGATGCGCGGCATTACTCGGTGAGTTTCATTTTCAGAGAGAGGGAAGCAAGGTGCATTGGATAACACAAGTGCATGTGATGTATTTAGATGAAGCAACGTAATCGTAGCTTTGCTTCTTTCTTTCCCTCAGCAAGTCATCTCAGTGATTGCAGCGAACGAGATGTTGCGAGCACGTGTACGTACTGCGTCAATCCACGAGCACTTACATTCTGCCAAGTTTTATTTTTCACAAAGAAAGTAAATGAGAGAAGTCACGTCAGAAGGCTAGATCAAGCAAGTCTAAACATTATCAGTCGAATGGCGGTAAAGATTTGTTTGAAAGCCTTGGCAAACATAGTATTTTGCCTGATACAGAAGTCACGACGTATGGGATAAAAGGTAATGGTGAGCTTTGATGAATATATGCTCGAAAGTTGATAGATTTCTCTTACGAACACCATCTGCTGTTTTTGCATGAACATCAATTGTAGTAAGTTTTCAAGCAATAAGTGCATATGACAAAGACGCTTATAAAGAGTACATGAACCCATTACATAGTTCTAAGAACACGGCTTCCCAGAATTGAAGCAAATCAAAAGTCAACATTGAAATCAATGTCTATTGTGGCAGTGGTTTACTGCTATGTGCTATATGCTACTGTCATGAAAGTCCAACGCGCAAAAGCACGATCAGATTCGTTGAGTCCCTCAGAAACTGCGCATCAAACAGATCCACTTTACATTTGAAAATTAAAAAATTGGGTCCGTAATTCCACTTTTTGCAGAGTCACGGATGTTTATGCCAAGTAAATGTGCATGCCATGATCTTAGGCCTAAAAAAGTGATCAAAAGCCCATTACTTTACAAAAACGGCGCCAAAAGGTATTGGGTTTGTTTGGTTTTTTGGGTAAATGGTCAATTTGCTAAGATTCCACCAGAGCATTTGGCTAGATTTGTGCGCGAAGATGTAGCTCACGGTGACTGCTGTTCTAATTGCAACCGTCAAGACCATGGGAAAATCCAAAACCTATAGAAATTTGCGTTTGTTCTCCTGCAAAAAGTCTCATCCATCTCATCCACGCGAAATCACCGATTTTACCTAAAAAATTTCGGAAAGTAATTGTTTACATTTTGTTCGTGATAGTTGGCACTGCTCGGTGAGTTCCAATGCCATCATTATGCGAGAATGAGTAGGGCCTAGGTAATAGAGCCAGTGCGAGCCTCTGCGAAGCAGAGGTGATGCACTGGTATTCAATATGGTGACAAATATGAGTGGAGAAAAACACTTTTTCAAGCATTTTCGAAACAATTTTTTCATACCTGCAATGAAAAATCATTTTGAACAAGCCTACTAGGAACAAATAATTGAAATACATTAAAAAGAGCTTGCGAACTAATCTATAATGGAAAATGATCTGAAAACTGATTTTCAATTTAATTGAAATTTTGAAATCTACTGTTACCCAAATTGCAACCAACTGCAGAAGCATGAACGAAGTATTAGAGAGTTTCCCAATAGCGCAACGCATTCCTAGGCTAATTAACAAGGGGGCGGAGCGATCAGCGCACCGCGTACAGTACCCAGTTGGCGGCTGGCACATGCTATCGTTCATCTTGACCGCCACCCCTAATACAGGGCCCGGCACGAATCGGCGGTCTATAGGGTTTCTGGAAACGAAATCTCTCCTGACTTTCGGAAGTTATACGAAGTTCCCTTTAAAAACGATATCTCCTTTGCTTTGTGCTCCAAAAACGAAGTTCAGCCTGCTTCTAGATGATCTGTGCCGGGCCCTGAGCTAATACCGCTTCTGCGCTGTTTTTGGTCCACCATGCAAAATTCCGAGCAGGTTTTTTGCGTGGATCTTTTAAAAACTGCGGGTTAAACGGATCCATGCGGCTTCTGTCCCGCAAAATTGCGTCCTTATCCACTTTGCAAAGTTACGGATATGTTTGGCAAATAAAGTTACGTAAACGCTCAGTCCAAATTTAATTAACATTTCACTTCATAAGATTCTTGCACAGGGATTGTCATACTGATCACTTTCCTCGTGGTGACTATCAAGCCAAAAAAATCCAAACTGATTCAACTCTGTTTGTTTTTCTGTGAAAATTTTCATCTGCGCGAAATTACCGGTCTCACATAAAATTCATTCGTGATAATGAGATTGCGCAGTGAGTTTCAATGCCACCTTGAGCAAGAATGGGTAAAGCATCTAGAAATAACAATGCGGGCCTCTACGAAGCAGAAGTGACGCTCTGGTGTCAGTAGTGCTTTCAGGAGTTTGCAAGGTAAAGTTCTTTTCTCCAAAATGACTAGCACTAAGCGAGCGCATTCGGGTTTATAATCTATGCAGCGATTCGTTGTTAGTAGGTAGCCAATCTTCTATCGGATGTGCAAAAATAATTCTCGAATTCACCTGAGCCCTGATACATAAGCCTGTCTGTACTCCACATGGGTCTTATGGCTGATTTGCCGCATGGGGCATGCCCACTTTCAAACGTTTGCGGAAACTTTTTTGAAAATTAGGATGATAAGGACTGCGCTAACTAATTATGCTTATCATAAAGTTGAGCAAAACTTCTGAAATTACTAACTTGTTCTATCATTATCATTGTGCCCCAAATCAACTTCCACTAAGCCATCGTCGTCGCTCGCTTGCACTGAATCAAAGTTGAAACAAAAGAATTTGAGATAGAAAAAGCCCTCAACGGAACTAACTTGGGACAAATACCAGAAATAGGAGGAGCACAAACAGGATACGGCGGCCAATCATCACCTATCAAAGCTTAGAAAAGAGTTTGATGGGCTAGCAGTTGAAAGTTGTCAACCGAGACAAACTAATGATTAAAAATGAGGCGAATGTTGAGCGTGTTGGTTTCGTGATAACGATAAAACAGGCTGTTTATCATCAAAATAGTTCATGGTTTTGATTATCAACAGAGATCATATCAGATATGTAGTCAAGACTTCTACCTATCATAACTTGATTGAGACTGCATCAGCTATAGGCTAGTTGCTAATCTCAGACGGAAGCTAAAGGGCCGGGCATACATCACGCGATTTCATCGTCGCGATTTCCGGTCGTCGCGACTTGATGAAGGTGGCGATGAAATCGCTGCGACTAAGTCGCTAACTACTCGGCCATGGGCATACTTTCTCGGCGATTCGTGCATCCTCACAAATGAGCACATAATACACGTCTCAAGATACTTACAAGTATTACTGAATTGTCGCAGTTGTCGGTGTATTGTATGTAATTGTATGATTATGTTGATGTATTGTATTGTTATTGTCACAGCTTCAGCTGATGTACCAGCCCTGGCTAGCACGTTAAGGTTGACCAAGGAAATCAAAGAGCAAAATGCTGCAGGCCAGGTGTTTATATGATTTGCGATTATACGATTTTGGCTAGTTCGGCAACACCATTTTCTGTTATAATAGTTTTGAAAGCGGTAATTGTATTTGAGATAGCCTCTTTTGAGAAAAACTTCAGAAACCTGAAGTTTCTGGTGTTGTTGGTGTTGCAATTTCGCTGTGTTTGTGGTATGAAGAACAATCAGAGTCGACGGAGTCGATGTTTAGTGGAAAGAGGCACGCTCGAAGTCGTCATGGGACTACTATTTAAGAAAGAAGGTATTTCACTAATACAGAATTATCGCTTTGTTCAATCTAACAATAAGATTGCGTCTTTTTCTGGTTTACTTAGTCTATGAGGTGGACCTGGCGTAAAAGGACTTCAGTTCAAAATGTCCACGTTATATATGGTCCTGGCCACACTTCGCTCAAAAGCGTCCAAAAGCGTTCAAATGCGCCCGAATCTAATGTCTCTTCACTTTATTGTGTGAGGAGAGATGAAAGAGAGTGTGGAGAGGCCTTGTTTTTTGTTTTTTTTGTTCAGGCCTTGTTGAGAAGTTAGGGCGCTTTTGAGAGCTTTTGAGCGTGGGCTCAAAAGCGAAGTGTGGCCAAGGCCTACGACTTCTCAATCACCCTTTTATTGCAAACGGCGATGGTCGCTTCATTTCTAATAAGTGGCGCTCTAGAAAAATGCTGTGTTCTTGCTGATTGTCCCATCTGTTTCAAACAGAAATGAAGCCCATCTTTCGTTTCTATCTGGGTCATCAGCTGCTAGCATGAACAGCTGCTACAAAGACGTATATCTAGTCATTGACTGCACGGATGGACATCAGTGAGGAGAACGCGACGAGGTAAAACGCTTTCCCTAGCAAGACTTGTCAAGATACCACTCGTGCTGTCGCCAATTTTAGTCTTTCCGCACTTGGTCCCAACGTTTGCGCAGACCGTGCGGTCAATGACTCGAAGGTACAAGCTGTAGGGTGACTTTCTCCGATTTACTGAGAAACAGCGGATTGGCCATAGGTTGCCTTATCAACTGTTTCAGGGTGGTCAAGGTTTCCGACTTTTTCGATATTGCGAAGGTTGCTAATCGTTGTAGACCTCATAGTACTCTCTGCGTGTTAAGCGCTCTCTAGCACTCGCTGACCTCGACAACCCGACCATCCCGGCAGCAGTTGCCGGTAACTTGTGGGCAATGCTTATGAGTTACGACCATCGTTGAGGACGATAATCTGGACATAACCGGTCATGGCTCATGATGATTGATAAGACAACGATGATAGTGCGCATAAGCGGGAGCCTTGGTGTAGATTTTCTGTTCTTACTTTGTATCACTCTTGAACTGATAAGGTTTTCCATTTTCAGCGTTGAGCTTCATCCTGAACGCATAAAGGGCCTACAGATGGTCGATGCAGTGAATTCGATAAAAGTGCTTGTACATTGTTTTTTTCTAGAATGATGTATGTTGCGGCCCGGCTCCTACAAAAATGTGCATTATAGTGTAAATACAATGCTTGGAGCCAGCTAACTGACAAAAAGTGATTATTTATTTATTTCATTTAAATATCAATCTTTGGCTCGTTTGCATTCAATCGAGAAGAAGTGATTAAAGTACTGGTCAACTGCTTTGCATTGCTCACAAATCTCTTTGTTCCTATCTTAGGGGCTTTTTGATCATTTGAAAAAGTCGAACCGAAACTTGTGATTTCAAAAGAGAAAGGCACCGTATTCTGTTAAAGACGTTGACGACCGAGCCCCGCGAAACTGCCACTTCGTTGCTTGCGCATTTGGCGTATGCATACGCTTGTATGCAGGGAATTATTATGTGCGAGGTTTTTTGGCGCTTATTGATAAAATATCCAGACTTTCAAAGTCGGATGTGTCTTACAAAGTCCTACCAATAATTGCGCATGTAGAGATTTTCGCATTACTTTCCCTCCATTATCATTGTCCGTCAGAGAAATCTCTCTTCGAAAAAACCGTTATAATATTACGTGTTTTTGACTGAGTTCATCTTTGATTGATGTCAGGACAACTATACAAATTGCTCTGAACTATGCCATCGAAAAGACGGACTTGATATAAAAATTAATGGCACAGGAGTATAAGAACGTTAGATTCCAATGCAATTCTTCCAGTTCCTGCAACGCTAATCCAGACATCATGATTACTGAAGATCATGAGTCATTCAACGAAGAAATGTCATTTATGGTTGAGGAGATGAGACAAGCAGAGCTGAAATGAAAAAGAAATGAATGAAAAAAAAATGCACAAATGAAAGTGACAAAATGTAAAAGAAAAGGGGACGTCAGTAAGACGGATACCTGTTGCTCCTGTGCTCAAAAAGCATGCAACAGCTTATGCGACAAAAAGAAGTTGTGTGCAAGGCTATACTTGAGACGAATTGTCCTAACCCCCGTCGTAACAGGTCGAGAAAGCGAATTGTATAGCAGCGTCTCTGAAAGTGCAGACGATTTCGCTGCTTAACGCTGTGTAAACTACGCTTTAGCTAAAGGAGAATTTCTTTAGTAATAACTTATTTATGAAAAGTCTCATGTATTTTCTTGGTAACATCTTTCGGCTGCAAAGTCCAAATACATTCAGACCATTCCTCTTTCCGTTGAGAAGAATTGGAGCAGCAACGAAATAAGAATACTTGTCGATAACCTGCAGCGGTTCACTTCGATAGACTCTGACATTCGATGCGTGCGGCGCTTTGCAGTGCGCGTAGGCCGAATGGTAAATGCGCGGGGGCCGCACTTTGTCGAAAGCGCTCTTTTATAAAGCTTCTTCTTCTTTCGTTGTGCCATGGGCATTCTTAACTTCAAAGTCCAAAAGAAATCCCGAATTTTGAAAATTCGAAAATTTGGATCTGAATTCTCAAAATTCAAAAATTCAAATTTAGCATCCATTCGGTATCGAGGGATAACCTTCGTAAAAGAAGAAAACCTCTCATGTTTCTGCGATTACTCAAATGCCAAGAAATGATAAGCCAGCTCCACTAGTGATGGAGCAGCCTAATCACAGCGTCGTACCTCACACGAGTACCCACTACGCTCATAGCGTGTGAGAATTGGAGGCGCGCGGGTGGTACGGTGAGAATATAGTCCGCGCGGGCCGTACGCTAAGGATTCAAGGCGCGAGGGCCGCACTGCTGGGGCCATTAGCAAGCGCGCGCCGCACGCACCGAATGTCATAGTAACTACCCAAGTGAAATTAATGTTGAACTAAGACAAACTAACTTCTTTTACTCTATCAGCTTGACAAAATTCAGCTGCATCTCCTGGTTTTGTGTGAATTTCGACGCGAATACCGGTTAGTAAAACAAGTGGCTCATCAGCGAGTACATACGAGGTTCCCGTGAAATAACTGTTCTGAAAAAAACTGGAAATACGACGATTTGATTAGTAAATGAAAAAATATAAGTAATCACTCATTCCAGGTTCATTTTAGTCCTTTCATCCGGCTGACCCACTATCCTACTCGTCACAACGAGCGAATCGGACACCATGAACGCAAAGTCCCACTATAAACTGGTCAATTATGGCTCCAGCAAACTCTTTATTCTATGGTTCACCTCTTGATATGATAGTGTCTGTGATTCATAAAAAATCGACCTTCTCGATGAACTCCTACCACTTTGCGATTGCTCCTAGGTATTCAACAAGGTCCTCTTTATCCATGACAATTCCAGTATCCTCAAACGTAATCGTATATTGAGCCTGAAACCTGTGACTTCATGGAGGTAACAAAGAAACAAGAGCGTGACCCCACCTCATCAGTGGTCAGTAGTCAGTGGTCTCTGACAAACAGCTAAGTTCGTTCCAAACATCTTGAAAACGAAGCCCTATAACCCACAAGAACAATACAATAGATAACGCGCATGTAATGTAAATGCAGAATTTCACTATCATACAGCGATATTGCATATACTGATCTCGACATATGTCAAACATCACGACTTTTGTGTGCTGAAAAGAAGTTCTCTTCCAAATGTGCTTAGCAGCGACACAAGTAAGCTTCACAATCACAAGTTTCTCGTATTACAACTCAATGCACGAACCTCACTGTCCGGATACAGAGAATTTGCCATGATATCCATAAGATTTCAAATATCAGTCTTGTAATTCATGTCGTTCCGCCACCGAGCTGCCGCTTCGCGCCGGTTCAGGATGATGCAAGGTTTTCGAATTGTAGGAATTTGCATTACGAATGTAAGCAGTCGTGACCACTTGCCGACTTCTGTCAAAAGCTACTCTACTCAAGGCATGTCATAACATCCGCATGCTCGATCCCCTGAACAAAAAGCATATCATTCAATTTAAACTAATCGAAGTTCAAAGAAATAAAATCGATATCCAGCCACAGCTGTACAGTCGATTAGATTTTTCGCTTAATATAGTGTCCTTGCACAGAAGGTGAGATGCTGTAAAATTTAAGCGTGAACAAGTAATTTCGACTGTGACGCTAACCAATCGCGCGCGCAAAATGTCGGTAGTAACGGACTTGGCTACTTGTCACGCGCAAATTTCACCGCATTTCACCTTCTGCACAAGCACACTATATTTAGCATAAAATCTAGTCGCCTGACATCGTATAGCAACGCCAAACAAAGCAAGAATCACCTTGTAAAATGAGGAATCCGACAAGGAAAGTTGTGAGATAAAGTATGGAGAGTAATGAGCGATATGCTTGTTGTGAGCAGTAGCCTCAGCACTAGAAGTAACAGGAAGTACTTTAACAGTGCCAACACTTGTACTAATTACCTGTTGCAGAACTCATTTGGCACATTTTCTCTACAACTGAATCCAAAGGCATGTCGGGAATCAAAGGTAGAAGCTATCTGCAAGTGAAGCGTGAAACAGAGGTCAGAAGTAACCGAATGTACTAACTTGACGATAAACCTAAAATCACTCAGCGACACTTCCTTCTCAAATGACCGACGCGACAGATTATGTTGCGCATGACATTCATCAGCAAATTGTCCTGTAAATAGTGTAATTTTTTGCAGCATCAATCCCAATTATAGCAGCAGAGAAGAATACCTTGATTAAGATTTCATAAAACAGTTTCTTAGCGACAGCTATTACTTCACGATTGCCAGTACGGACTTGGGAGGAACTGAAGTTCTTGCTTGGCGTACTTTTTCGATGCATACAGAGGGCAACATTCGATAGTGTACCTCTGGGCTAAAAATGCCGCCAGTCAAAACATCAAAACGCTAACACAAAAATAGAAAAAGAATGCGCCTCATTTGAACCAGCAGATGGAAAATTGCAGCAAATGATTACCTTGAGGATGTCGTGTGTGAGCATCTTCGTTAAATACAGCAGCACGGTAATTTTTTCACTAGCATCTACGTCAACGGTCCTAAAAAGTTTTGAAGACAACGGCAAATCAAGTCAAATTCCTATGCGCAAATCACTTTGTACGAACGGGACATCCACGTACTTCCAAAAAGTTGGAAAAAAGAAACGCTGCCTTGGGTATTTCAATGAAAATGCTATTCCATAAATAGATGCAGTGCAAAAACAGTACGAAGTATAAAGTATAATGTTCAGTATAAAGTATAAAGTATGGTATAAAGTTTGAGTTTGACAGTACAAAGTTCTAACCTTTTTCTAGACTCTCCTGCGTTAAGAACTGAAAACCACTTGTCCAATAACGAAAGATGATTTCGATGATATTTGTTGTTTTTGCTAAAAAGAGCCTTGTGATGACTGAGAAGATATGCTATATGAGGGCTGAAAAAATGGCTGCTAAGCTGAGTGGGTGGTAACCTGATACAACGAGAGACTTAAATCGCTAGCAACACGACATCATGAAACTCAAAATTAGAAATGACGACCGCTTTCGGTCCAATGAATGCACTCGGCGCAAAGTTTGGCGTCACCTGAGACCAATCGATTGTTATTTACGCTGAGGCTAATATTGATTGCAGTGTCACAAACTTGTCACATCCTGTCGCAGGTGTTGAGAGATACTGCCATGCGATGACGGTCATTACCGACTATTACAAGCGATTCAAAGCAGGAGGAACAAGTTTTTTTCGAAGAAGTTTATTCATAACAAACTCTAAATCTGAAACTCTTCATATTTGGAATAGATTTTAACTTCATCATATTGAACGAATAGGACGAACATAATAAACAGATACGAAGTCATCGAATCACGAAGAAGCAAAACACTTTGGCAATTTTGGACTGGTTTCCAAAGTTCTGATCAAGAAAACAGCCTAAAAACGAAAGAAACGATTATAAAATCTTTCAAAAAAGAAGTCAAATCTCAGCGATTTAGTCGCGTCGCTTGTTTTAGCTGAGCGACGCGACATCGCTGAGATTTGGGCAAATCGCGACGATTTCATTGAAGGAAGTATGCCCGGGGAAAAAACGGTCAGCGACTAGTCGCGCCGGAAAACTATCACAACCGAATGGCAGAATGATCAGCATGCAATGGACTTGTAGCATCTTGTGGAAAAATTTCCGAGGCGACGGAATAGCGTGATGTATGCCCGGTCCTTAACCCTGTAAGGCCCCGGACAGACTTCACGCGATTTGATGGTCGCGACTGAGTCGCGACGATCAAATCGCGACAATTACAACATCATTCCACGCCCATCAACTCGCATTTCGGTTGTGATACTTTTCCAGCCCAAAATTTTTGAATGTGAAATGAAAATGAATGGAAATGTCGGCGATTGAGTCGCGACGATCAAATCGCGTGAAGTCTGTCCGGGGCCTAAATCCTAAGAATCGCCAGTGCCCGCTCTCAGTTGAACCTGGCTCGTACTGATCACTGATCGATGCTTTCAAAGGGAGGCGCTGGCAAGGGCTCTGAACCTGGCAGTGAGCCTGATCGCTGCTTTCGCAACCGTTTTTTGAGATGAATTATTAAGGTGGCCGAAAAGTAATGGGGCAGCTTGACTTTTCTACATTGAGATTTTTTTTCGATCAATAATGAACAGGCTGCAACTCAAATTCACTTACATAAGCGATCTCCGCCTATCACTTCGGTAACGCGGTACTGGTCCTCTTTCACACGAAAAACTTGGACAGAATTTCTTGAACATCTCCCAGTCTTGCGCTGCTATACCGTACAATCATGATGCAAGTAATTTACTATCCAAAAGAGCTCTTCAAGCTTTGAACGGTAATCGTGCATTTAAGCTTTCTCTCTGTTTTTAGATAAAAAAAGGCGCTTGAAATTTGCAAATTTTTGGCGCAACAAAAGGCTAAAGAACCATATTTTAGTTTATAATTTGAGAGACGTAGAAAGTTAAGGTAAACTGCGTATGGATGGATAGAGCTCAAAAAGCCCTATCGATCGGTAACTAGAAAACTTGCGTTTACCGTTTACCGTTTTAAAGGCAGTGGCTCGGCAAATCTCAACCTAGTCAAATTTGCGCTTACCAGAGATTTTTCGATACGCTGATCCCGATCGATTTCGAGATTTTGTGCTTACCTAGGCCTATTCGCTATGCTGAATCCGAAAATCAACACTGGGGATTGCGAAAATGGTGAAAAAAGACTCTAACAGTGGAGGAAAATTGCAAGTAGGCGGGGCTGTTCACATAGTGGCGTCACCCTCCTAGATTCAGAAGCGATTTCTCGATTTCGCTAGTCGCCCTAACATCACCACCAGCCAACTGCGAAATGCATGACATAAACCGAGAAGATCGCTCCTAAAGCCTGGGAGAGTGACATCACGGTTTGAACGGCCTCGCCCACCCGTGATTTCCCTCTTGCGTTGAGGCCTTTTTTGGCGTTTTCGCACTCTCCATTGTGGTTTATCGGATTCAGCATGGCGAATAGGCCCGGGTAAGCACAAAATCTCCATTGTGGTTTATCGGATTCAGCATGGCGAATAGGCCCGGGTAAGCACAAAATCTCAAAATTGACTTTTTGCTTGGAACTGCCTTTAAGAAGTAAATTATCAGTGTCTCAGATCTCGAAACGGCTAATGGTCATATGTCCTGACTCAAAGCGCTGACATCAAGGAACTGTCGCAGGCTAGACGACTATTCCTTCACCCATTGTAGCAGTAATACTTTGGATGGTCTTACGTGCTTGACGCGCGGATACTGCTCAAAGTTTATAATTGAAGAAGTGATCGACTTCGCATTTAAGCAAGTTTAAGAGTTATAAACATGTAAATGGCCTTATATACACTATGTACATGACACACATGATCATATGGAATGATCCGATCGTAGATACTGGGCGCAAGAGAATTATATTTTCTGACATCTATCAAAAGTTGAAGCAAAATTGAAGAATCTAATGATCTTGTCTCTAAAAAAAATCTGCACTTGTTCTGCAAGTGTCCCAACACTTTCCCACCACCCTTATATTATCGGCCTTCCTCAACAGGGAACGATCCCAACTCGATACTAGATAAACACATACACACAAACACATGCACACATAAACATGCGAACACATACACACATAAACACATAAACACACATAAACACACATACACACATACACATACACACAATCACATACACACATATACGCACTTAAACACATACATGCATAAACAACACAAACACATGCACATGTACAATTCAACGTTTGAATGAAGATGTGCACAATGCAGTCAAATCGAAGCTTTAGTGAACGCTTTATTAACCTGTGCACATTTCCCGGGCAAGGGCTGTACAACGTTGCGACTTTTTGGATTACCTGCAACACATAAAACGAATGTTGCACGACATGGTAACGCCGCAAAAGAAAAAGTTAAATGCTCAAGATGGGTAGAGGGACGAACACCTCAATTAGGCACCGCCTCCGCGGACTGCTGGTCCCAACACGATGTATAACAGTAGGACGAAAGGACCAGCAGCCCGCGGAGGCGGTGTCTAATTGAGGTGTTCGTTCCTCTATCCGCCCAAAATAACATACCGCTGCGTTTTTTAATAAGCTGGGCACACGTGCAGGCGAAGCCGGAGCTGGAAAGGTGTGGTCCACCGAGAAAACCTGCGCGAAGGGCACAGGTTACGGTATGTTATTTTGAGCATTCAACTTCTTCTCGCCGCAAAATGAACTAATTCCAACGACGCTCCAGTCAACGATCTTGACAGTACGACATGAATGGTCTTGAAGAAAGAGTCCTCGAGTGGGCCCTTCGGAAGGATGGAAAAGAGGCGATGGGACCCCAGTCGTCGGTGTTGGGATTGTGGGTGGTTAGAGGGGGTTATGGGAGGGCGCACCTAGCTAGGCTTATTGGGGGTCCTTTACTTCGGGACTCAGAGATCTCAAAAGTCCGATTTTTCCGAGTCACTGCCTTTGAGGTGGCCCATTGGACTGAACCGCATATCATAAGATGCGACTTGATGTGCTGATTCCAAATCTCTATCTTGCTATTTGATATGAAGTCGAAATATCACCTGTATCACTGTATCCCGTTAATCATCGCTTGACACGAGCGGGATCCTGTGACGCCTCCATTCGTCCCTGTCGCGAGTCGTTGACCAATTTCTCATCGCATTAGGTACACGAAAAACGCCCTGAAGGACTTCTTTAAAGGACCTCGTGGACATGTCAGACCATCGAGTCGACAGTCTTCCTGTTCCGCGTTTGACGTCCAGCGATGTCCAATATGTTGCAGCTCTGGTCCACCGATTGTCGTCAAAACGCATCACGTGTCGGCCCCATCTGATTTTATTCTGTTTGACGTATGCGGCAGAATCCCTGATCTTTGATCGTTGACGTAGGGTACGTATGAGCTTCGCATTCCTTCTCTTACTTGCGTGAGTCGGGTCGCACCTAACATCATTCTCTCAAAGCGGTTCGATGACGCTCACCGCATAAAGAAGAGAAGAGCTAGGAAATTGATAATTGAAGAGATTGGTAAAATGCAGAGCGAGTGCGAGTCCAGTACGCGTATGAAAAACAATATGCTATCCAAGTTTCTTTTTCACACTCTGGTTTCGGGGCTTGAACTCGACCAGATGTGTGGCCTTCCTGCCGCCCCCGGGTTCAGAAACCCTTTCATAGTTCAAAAACTCTCTCGTAGTTCACAGGAAGGCTTCAAAAGAAGATGAAAAGGGATTTAGTGCTGACACAAAAGGAGTTCAAAGTGTACACAAGGGTGAAGGAATAGTGCTGCTACGAGAGGAGTCTAAGGTGTACAAAAGGGCAAATGAACTAAATTACTGGTCCTCCCCTCCCTCGCTCTTTCCCGCCCATCCGCGTCCCCGATTCTCTGTAGTAGGTCACTAATTTCGTTTCTAACTTTATTTATGGGAGGAAAAATGTATTGCTGCAGGGAAGCCTTACTTTCGTATAATGTATGTTTCCCTAGGGGCATGACATAATGTTCGTACTATTTCAGCAACATTCCAGCCGTTAAAAATACATATATTCCAAAATTGAAAAATTTTATTGGAAAAATTCGCATAATTGCTACAATTCTGTTAATTCTAACAACTTTCCCTACAACCGTTTTGGTTATATGTTTTGATATATTAGACAATCTATATGGGTATCTATAAATTACAAAGTTGTAAGCATCCGTCTTATTATACATACTTAAACTATCTCATTTTCCTTTATTTTTAGACTGAAATCTAAAAAATTTGTTTCCATTGAAGACGTATTACCCTATTTTCCGGAGTATAAGGCTCATCCATGTATAAGGCGCACCTGCCGCGCGAACGTTAACGCGGAGTTGCGCCCTAGGTTTGGGCTTGGGTTGAGCTGTACTTTAATGGTCTACTTATCTACACTTTACCTAGAGACTGCTGAATGGGCGCTCGGGATGTCAGTGCTTTCAACTTTCGGAAAAGCTTAGCGAAAATTTGACTAGGTGTAGAGATAAACAAACTCACTGACAAATACTGGACGAGTTTCAAATGATAACGGTAGGGTGTTTTAGTGTAAAATTTTTGCTTAGCTAAATATGATGAAGTAAAGATAGAGCAGACTAATTTTTCAAACAACACATGGCCACAAGAGACTTAACAGAGAAAGGATGCACAAATCTGTTACAAAAAGTTAG